TGATGTTAGTGTTGGCCAAAACGGAGTGCGCATGCGCGAAATAAGAAAGTTGATCTGTAACGCCATCTGAACTTTTCTCTCACTCACTCTCGTTTTTCGTTCTTTCTCACACTAATTAAATACCCAATTAAATGCTTGCAGTGCAAAAAACAGTGACGTCAACACCACTCTGTTGGTGCTACGAAGCGAGTCCACGAACGGCCAGAGCGCACTCATAGCGCCAAAAGTACTCTCCCAGAACGCACCCTATGTCTATGGTGGCGACTCTCAGGGTGCGTTCGGAGAGCACGCTTACACGCTACGAAACGCAAACGCCAATTCAATCGTTTGGGGAGCTATTGTGGCGCTCACGGTTGCAAGCTCCTCGAACGATTTTCGTTGCATTGTGAGCGTGAGCAATATGACGAATATGGATGAAGATAACCATATTAACGGCCATCTTGCATGTGCTACGATACGGACGTGTTTTTGAGTGCTCTTGAAGTTTATTATAATCAGCCCATTTCTGGGCTACTGTTTGCGATATTTCGTCAGAATTAGTTGGCTCTTGTAGCGTGCTTCCTTCAGAAGCCCTTATTTTGGCGCCCAAAGAGAAATTTCACACGCTATTACTTTTATAAAAGTAAGTCGCAACGGACGCCTTTGTCTTGACAAAGGCCGGCGGGCCTAGCGCTGTCGCGCCTCGCAGCTACGGGTTAAAAAAATCTTTCTGGATAATTCTACATTCTTCCTTCTCTTGTAAAATCCTGTCACTCTTCCAATATGAACTCCGAAGGATCCGACGACTTCCATAAGGACAACATCTTCCTTCTCTTGTAAAATCCTGTCACTCTTCCAATATGAACTCCGGAGGATCCGACGACTTCCATAAGGACAACGTGAGTAGTCATAACTCTCTTCACATTCGGACGAGAATATTGTCATCCAAAACGATGACATCGATATGGAAGCTCTTAATAATCTCAGATTGGAAGCCGGTCTCTTACAATTAAATCCATCTAAAAGTGTGCGAACATCATCAGATATTAAAAAAGGAAAAAGCCTGAAACGTGCAAAAACAGACCTAGCTCACAGCCAGTCTACGAATAAGGTCTTCAGTACTGAGACCCATTCTTCTCTTGATTCTGTTAATATTTCTACCTCAGGCTCAACTATTACTATATCGGAGACTGTATTGAAGAACAGATATTCCTCAGATAATCAAGGACCTTTTGACGTACACGTACAAAGGATTTCGAAGCCACACGCTTCCCTTCATCCTATATCTGTAGGAAGGATCATTGCTAGTCTTAACGTAAGTGACGTGATGGAAATTAGAAAGATGGGATTTTCCAAGGTTTCAATCTTTCTAAAGACTCGTGAAGCGGCTAATGACTTAGTTAACGATTCACGTCTAAAGAAGGAGGATCTGATAGCGTTTATCCCCCCATCTCGCACCTCTCGCAAAGGAATTATCAGGAATGTTCCTTTGGACCTCTCCGATGACTTAATTTTTGAAAACATTAAAAGCCCTTTCAAGATTGTGTCGACTAAAAGACTTAACCGAAGAATTGTGAACCCTGACTCTCGTGGAGGGGAAAAGGCTTCCGGTGTTGATTACACCCCCTCTTATACAATAGTGATTACTTTTGAGGGCCAAAAAATACCCAAAAACGTTACCCTCTTTTATGTCAGTTACCCTGTCACTCCCTACGTTTCCAGAGTATCTCTATGCTACTCCTGTTACAGGTTTGGGCATATAAAAGCATCATGCAGAAGCAAACCACGCTGTGTCCACTGTGGAGAGAAGGATCATTGTTTCGATAAAGAGCAGTGCCCTCATGCACAAGACCCCCCTAAATGTGCCAACTGCGGAGGTGGTCACAAAGCGGACTCACCATCATGCCCTGAGCTGTTAATTCAAAAGGAGATTAGACAATACGCGGCTCACAGGAACATCTCGCTGCTCGACGCCAGGGAAATTGTGAGAGGTAACAGATCTCCACCATCTTACTCCCCTTCCTTGGATGAGTATCCTCTTCTCCCGCATTCCCCCGCTAGTTTTGAAAGCTCTTATTCACACAATGCGTCTGGGTCTCCCTTATCAAACCACCCGCATATAACTTATGCCAAAGCGGCTTCTGAGTATTCTAATTTTTGGCATAATCATTCTCCCCCAAATCTCCCTAACAAGGAAATGCGACATTCCCGTCGCTCTCCCCCCTCCCCGCGCCCATCACCGGATCTATTTGTAGCTCCTAATGGGAGACCTCCTAGATCGCGAAACAAAATCGTGTTCAGTGACTCCTCGTCGTCCCAATCCAGTCTTGGCAAAGATCACAATAGCAATGTTAATATCCAACAACAAAAAAATTTCTCTGCTAACGATCTGGTGAATTCTATTGGCTCTCTTCTTATCCAACTTACTTCAACTCTCGCTTCTCCTTCAATGACGGAGGAAGTTCACAAGATTATAGATTCTATCCAAAGCTTACTGTCTAATCCGGACCTGAGGTCCCCTCACCATAAAGACAACGATGACAATGACAAGTAATTCCGTTAGAGAGGGCATTAATATTCTGCAATGGAATTGCCATGGACTTAGTAATAAAAGAGATCTGTTGCTTAATATTATCCAGGACTATGACATTCTTGCACTTTCAGAAACCTGGCTTACCCCAGAACAAAATTTCAGCTTCCACAATTTTCATATAATTCGCTCCGATGGACCCTCCAATAGATCTGGAGGGGTGATCATCGCCATTAAAGACTGGATACCATTTACTAAAATTGACTCCATTTACTCTATCCTAGGTCGTCTTGAATCGACTGCAATTAGGATCGAGACTCCCACAGATCCTATTTATATCATCTCTATATACCGTCACCCAGGTAACTTCGATTACTCTAACTGGGATAATCTTTTTCTTCCATCCCTTCTGCTTCCCGTATTATCATTACGGGTAATTTTAACGCTCACCACAATATCTGGGGATGTGTGTCCCCTGACTCTGTCGGTAAGGCTCTCCTTGATTCTGCACTGGATCATACTCTCTATCCCTTAAACGATGGCACTTTTACGTACATATCCCGTCCAAATCAGACTCTTTCAGCGATCGATTTAACTTTTGCTTCCTCAGATCTATTCCCTTTATGTTCATGGACATCTTTCGATGACTCGCTAAACAGCGATCATATTCCAACTATTATTTCACTATCCTGTTAAATGTCGCTCTTTCTTTTCGCATAAACTCAACACCTCACGTATTAATTGGAAACAATTTACGCTCTCTTTATTAAACCAGCACTCTCAACTTCTCACTCAACTTAACCTGGATAGTATTTCACCCTTAGACAAATACGATTCTATTATATCTGTCGTCAAAAGTGCCATTCTTTCGCTCACTCCACCTCGAACATGCAATCGCAAGAAATTTACATCTCCAACGGCCCCGTGGTGGAACAAGGAGTGTTCTGAAGCAGTCGCAAAAAGGAAGCAGATTCTTAAACAATTTAGAAATCATGTCTGTCTTGACAATCTTATTCTCCTTAAAAAGCAGAAAGCTGTCTCTAGGCGAGTTTTACGCTCTGCCAAACGCAGTGGTTGGAGAGAATACTGTGAATCTTTGGGGCCCTTCACACCCATCTCACAAGTCTGGAAAGTCATCAAGAGATTTAAGAACAGATTTCTCAATCCAATCTTACCCATTCCTCAATCTAATTTTAGTATACCAACAGACATGCAGAATCAAATCAATTCTCTGTGTCCTTCCTCTTGCTTTTACGAACAGAAGATCCTTTCTGATACTAATTCTAATGACTATGCGTGCAAATATTTTGACTCTCCATTTAAAGAAGAGGAACTCTTGTATATCATTCACTCTCTCAAAAAAAGATCTTCACCCGGTATCGACCAAATTGATTATCGTATTATCTCTCATCTTCCTCATGAATATCATTTATTCCTACTTGCAGCTTTTAATCAAATATTTTTTACGGGTCTCTTCCCTGATGCTTGGAGGCACTCTCTTGTTTTCCTTATTCCTAAAACCACTCCGGGAAAGTATAGACCCATTTCCCTTACCTCTTGCTGCTTAAAACTGCTTGAGAAACTTATTCTGCTGAGACTGGATTGGTGGTTGGAACACAACCTCAAACTCCCTAACTCACAATTTGGATTTAGGAAATTCAGATCCTGCCAGGATAATCTCTCCTCTCTGATCACCGAAGTTCATGGTGGCTTCTCCAAAGGGAATTCCACAGCCTGTTTGTTCTTGGATTTATCCAATGCATTCGACGACGTTATTCCGAACATTTTAATGAATGATTTGGATGATATTGGTTTACCTCCCATCTTACACCAATTCATTTATAATCTTATCAGTTTCAGAAAGATACAGTTCTGCATCAATGGAGAGCTTACCGACGAGTTTCACTCTTACAAAGGAGTCCCTCAGAGATCCATTCTTAGTCCGACTCTTTTCAATATTTATATCTCTAAACTCAGATCTAGCATAGGTAGGAGCTGCGAACTTATTCAATTCGCAGATGATATAGCAATTTTTCATACCTCCTCGCAAATAGACGACTCCATCTCTAAAATCGAAACAGCTGCTAAACGTGCATGTGATTATCTCACAACCAAAGGCTTGACGGTTTCTCCTACCAAGTCTTCACTCGTGGTTTTCACGAGAAAACGTGTGGATCCGCTCTCATTCTCTATAAAAATCTTAAACAATCATATACCATCGACTTACTCGTGTAGATTCCTGGGTATACATCTTAACTGTCGTCTTTCGGGAAGGGAATACTCAAGGTTCTTGTTGGGAAGATGCTCCAAACTGATTAACATCCTAAGTATGTTGAGAGGTACCTGGTGGGGAGCCTCCCCTCAGCTCTTGCTTAGCATTTACAGAGCGTTGATTAGGAGTTCTATGGAGTACGGATGTTCTATCTTCCCTCTCAACAATCGCTCGATTCTGTACCAGCTAGAGAAAATACAGTTTAGAGCCCTGAGGCTTTGCACGGGCTTACGTAGAACCACTCCTATTAACGTTCTGTTGGCTGAGTCTGGAGAAAGCTCACTAAAGCATAGGTTCTTCTATCTCACGTCTAGATATATTTTAAAGATTTTTAGTCTGGATGACCACCCCACCATAGAGAAACTTCATCATTTGCATTGGTGCGTTCGAAACTCGCGCAAAAAGAATCCAGCTGACTACTTTTTATTATACAAATCCTTCTGTACCTATTTGAAATATAAAAGATACATAGCATGCTTCATCTTCCCCTCTGTTTATTCTATTGATTATTGGGCTCATGTCACTTCCCCTTCCGTTAGGATCCCCTACCTTAAACCTCCAACTGCTTTTCAGAACCTACTCCTTCGCTTCTATATTCTCGGCGGAAGCTTACGCTATCCTCCAAACTTTGACTTATATCCTGGACAACTCCATCCTGAGATCTGTTATCTTTACTGACTCTCTCAGTGTGACACAAGCTCTGTCCTCGTTTAATTTTGGCCATTCCTACAGCCATATTATTCACGCTATAAGAAGTAAAATACACGTTGCATATTCAACGGGCTTTCAAGTTGTAATAGTCTGGATACCATCACATTCTGGAATTCTGGGAAACGAGACGGCCGACCTCCTGGCTAAAAACGCCATTACCAAGGGCAAATGGTATACTGGTTTGCTCCCATACTCCGACTTCTTCTCGGTGGTAAGGAAGAACCTCATTGCTGATATGACCGACCTTCTCAAAAAACAGGCAAGATATAAGGGGATTAATTATTTTCGATCTTTTGACGAATTCCGCCCGAGACCTTGGTTCTACGAGATGAAGAATTTCAATCGTGAAAGCATCACAACCTGCTGTAGGATAAGAAGTGGACATTACGCACTCAATAGCAGCTTATACCGCTGCAATCTGGTACCTCAATCTAGCTGTCCTTGTGGAGCCCTTACTCAGGATATAAACCATATACTCTGGTCATGTCCTCTTTTAAACACTAACAGACACTCTATGATAAGAGCGCTCAACCAATTGGACATTTTTCCTCCAATGGATGCTGCAGAACTGTTGGCGGAGCCATCTTCCGGAGTGGTCCTTGCCATCTACTCCTTTTTCAAATCTTGTAAGATTCAAATCTGACTCCTCGTACTACCTTGTTCCTTCCTTTTGGGGTTTTTATACACTTCTAACCAACCAATCTACGAGCTGGAGTTTCACCATCTCTTACTTACAATTGATCTTTTAAGATCTGCATTATAAATGTCATTTTAAAATAGTGATTTTTAGTATCATAATAAAACTAAAGATATTATCTTATCTTAATTTTCATTATAAAAAAAAAAATCAAGGCGAGACGAAAGCAGAAAACATTCGCACAGCGTTCAGGGAGCACATTTAGGCGCTATGAAAGCTACTAGCATGTCGTGCCTCACCTCGAAATCCTGAGCACGAGTTAGCGCGAGTGATGACGTTGCAGTGCAAAAAACAGTGACGTCAACACCACTCTGTTGGTGCTACGAAGCGAGTCCACGAACGGCCAGAGCGCACTCATAGCGCCAAAAGCACTCTCCCCGAACGCACCCTCATTCTTCTCTCTGGTCTTACATAGACTACCAGCAATCCAGATATATAGATCAGTGTCTGATCTAGGCTGCGTTCCAGGAGCACGCTTTTAGCGATATGAGCATGCTTTGTCCTTGTTCAACTTTCCGTAAATAACAAAGATAGAACGACGCTTTCAGCGCGTAAGCATGCTTTCGGAACGCAGCCCTATAGCAGGATTCTCTAAACATCTTAACGACGGTTATCATTGTCGTTAGCAAGCGATAGCCTATGAGAATTGCGCTTTTCACCAGAATTGTCCTTGCCATTGGCTGTCGCCAGTTAACGATACCGAAAACTATCGATAACAAGTTACTGAATCCCACTACTGGTAGTCTGGTATAAAGTTCATTGATTGTAATTCGGTGTTTAAATTAAGTATTTATAGTAATTTATAATTGATAATTTCTACATTGTTGCAGTATATGAAATACTATAGAAAAAACTTATTAAGAATATTGTGTATATGTAATCTATAATGTTCGAGTGGAAAAAGCGGAAAATTTAAAATTTATATTACCAACTATGCAGGTTAGTTCGCCAACTCAAGCACTTTAAGGATGTATCGGAGCTATCTTAAAATAGTACAATATTGGTGAGGTTGTTTTTTACATCTTTCTAATGTGCTAAAAAAAGTTCACATTAATTCACTAAACTGTTAAAGAGTCATTACAATTTTAATTTTCCTTCATTTTTTTTGTGTAATAGGCTTAGTTTTTTGTTTTTCTGTTATAGCCACAATATTTTTTTCTTAATTTTCCATATTTTTGTTATGCAAGTCTTTTTCATACATACGTTTAGTAACGATTTTGCCTTTCCAACGATAAGTTGTAATTTATATTAAGTTGTATTTTCTATCGCGATATGTCAACAACAAACGAAGTCACTAACCTCACTTTGTGCAACTCTTATTTTATAAAGTTAGATTCAGGGCATTTTCACTCTCAAAAATGTTGTCATATAAATAAGAAACTTTGCAAATAGAGCTAAAATAATATTGGGAAAATAAAAAATATTTTTCTACAAGTAAATATGTAATTATACTATCATTTGTGTCATTCATATCTACCTTTACTATACATAGGGTATAGATATTTAAGAATTTAGAATTTCGGGTATTTCTGTCTATGATTGTATCTCCAATATCCTTAAATGCTTGCACATAGAATTATTAAGGAGATTTAATTAGCATTTGAATGTTCTGATTTTCTTTTATTTTCTAGAAAAAAGCCAGAAAAACAAGGCGTCAGCTTTTGGCAGACAAAGCAGCAGTGCAGCAACAATTAATCAATAGGGCAAATGCTTTGACAAATCCTTTGGAAACTTTAGACAAGTTTCATGAATATATCATAAAAGATTATACAATAAAACTATCTTGTGTTAGAGCAAGAGATGCACAGCCAGAATGTCTTTCTTGGATATTTGATATCATGGAAAGAAACATGAAAGACATGTATGAACAATCTACTTGGGGTTGGGATGTAGCTGAGAAACAAGCAGAATTAACGGAAGAAATGGCTTGGTATTTAGTAGCATCATGTAATGACAAATTTTTAGGCTTTTCACATTTTCGATTTGATATCGACAATGGCGATGTAGTATTATATTGGTAGGTATTATATGTATACAGGTCACACACACACACTTTTACATATATATAAATAAATAAAACTGAATGTGTGATAAAAATTAAATATTTATGTGTATGTGTATAGCTATGAATTACAACTGGAACCAGAGGTCAGACGTAAAGGACTTGGCCGTTTTATGATGTCAGCCCTGGAATCTATGGCATATCAGAATCAGATGTTGAAGATTGTTCTAACAGTTTTTAAACGTAATTTGTTGGCGATACAATTCTTCTATACGCTTGGGTAATGGACATTTATCAGTACTATTGCATAGATCAGCACTGTATGATATTCTTAATAACATTGACATATTATATTATGATTAAATTTTTTTGTACTACATTATACATAAAATTTCTACTTATTTTTTAATCATATTTCCTAGAATTGTTTAATATTTTTCATACATAATGTATGTACAATGTAGTACAAGTATAAAATTGCTGTGCAAATTAAAATTATCTTATAGAATCTATAATTGACTAGTATCAAAGTATTTCCTTTGATAAAGAAATACTATCATTATACTGGTTTATACATGTTCTCACTCAATTCACTAATATTAAATGTAATTATTTAAATTTATATTTTATTTATATTTTGTATCTAATATAACCTTTCTATATCAGAGAACAAACAAGTCGAGAACTTGAAGAATCATGTTTAACACTAAATATGTAGTGAGAATATGTTACAATCATTCATTCACAATATTCAGTCATAAATCTTATAGTAATATCTTTTAGTATAACATTTTTTAAAAACTAAATGCATATGCATAAAATATCGAAATTATATTTCTTATTCTACAGAATATATTCAAGTACACTGACAACATTTGAGATTTAATAAAGAATGATAAATTAAGAGGAAATAGTTACATTAGCTAATTTTATAGCAGCAAAACGCGATGTTCCCGGATATAGATTGTCTCTTTAAAAATACTTGATTTGACATTTTATCAATTCTTGAATGCTCCTATTATTAGTATTGGTTTGAAATTCTTCTCTTTATATCTGTACGTTTTATCTTTACTTAAAAATGCTAAATCAAATACTTTTTAACTTACTCTAGTATAATATAATTATAGTTTATAATATAAACTAAACAAGAAAATTATTAAAACATGAGTGATAATAAATATTAAATCTAATCTATCAGTGGCAAATTTAATTATGAGAAAGTGTAATGTATTATTTTCAATTTTATGTGTATGCATGCATATGCAATTATTAGTTTATTGCATACACACACGCATGTGTATGTGCATGAGATAAAATAAAACTATTGAAATCTTTCTATTTTAAATACACATTATATATGTATAATTTTAAAGAGGATAGATTTCCTATTGCTATACAATTTGACTAGTATAAATAATGTATATACAGGGTGTCCCAGAATTAGACTGACAAACTAGGTGGTTATAAAGGATACCAAAACAAGCCAATTTTTGTCAATAATCGGCAAATGAGAAATTCCTGGTGTACGAGACTTCTGTACTTGGAGAGGAAGATCTTCTGGCAAGAGTGATGATCGCTTGCGCACATGTGCAAGTTGTTTTAGGAATATTCCAAGATCCATATTCTAAGATCCATGAATCCATAAACTGACGATGCAATCTTTGTATGGAAATAAATGGCTGCCATTTCGAACAATTCTGCTGTAAAAATATACTTCAGTTCAAAAACCACTCTAATGCCAAAACGACTCATTTACGAACACAGGTTTATTGACAAAATTGGCTTGTTTTGGTGTCCTTTATAATTTTTATATCTATGAAGTTTATCGGTCTAATTCTAGAACACCTGTATATTTAAATATATTTGTTATATGTATATAGTCTATGTTCAAATCTTTAATCAAAACGATAACAGTTGTATGAATTTAATATTGTTTCAGATATAAATTAGACAATTCGAGTCCAACCTCAGCACACTTGGATTATATAATCTTGAGTAAACAAAATTTACATGGATAAAAAGAAAACAAAACATGCTGGATTTTTCTTTTATATTTTTTTCTTGATTAAGACTGCGTTTTATGAAATAAAATTGGCAATATTTGATGGGGACACAAATTTATAATGGGCGATTTCAGAGACGGTCCAACATTGTGGAACGTAAGGGGCGCTTTACTTATGGTCCAGTCTTCCATGTCATTGAGGAATTTCGTCAAATCAATCTCTCCTGATTCCGAAATATTAAAGTGTCGCAGACGAGAATTGTTGAAGCAAATATCTAAGGCTGATTGGTGCAACACCATGCCGATACCTTTGCCGGCACCTTCGGGAATGGGGAACACTCGGAGACTAATGATGTTTAAATCTACTGGAAGATCGTATCGAAGCGGTGAGAAATGTGCGTGCAAATCGAACGGCAGAGAATTGTGAGGATGCAGTGCTATAACTGGATGTAGTAATTCTTCCGAAGCTAAATGGCCACTTAAAGACAACAATCCTGCAGGATGATTTGTTGACGGTACAGTAGAGAGACAATTCGTTTCTTTCTTCTCTAAAATTAATGTAAACATGTGATTTGTCAATAGATTGTCCATTACGCCTTGCCCTAATCCTCGATTGTCATCCTGAAGTAATCTTCTATCTTGCATAATCTATTTATAAAAATCAAATATGGCATATTATATATACAATATTAATAAATTTTCTAAGTGTACACATTTTTTTATACATGGAATTGTTCTGCTATATTATGTTATAGCTTTATTTTTAAGCTTATATATTTTTGTAAATATTTGCATCTAATTCTTAATTAGATAAAATTTATTCGATTTACCTCAAGTTGACCAGATGCCATAGAGGCTACACCTAATGGCTGTGCTGTGGTGATTGTTAATCTAACCCTTTTATCTTCTATATATGCACTTGCTGCCATTGGATAATAATTGCCTTGTGTGGGAAGCTTTGGAAATCTTTGTCGCCGGATCATCTAAATTTAAAATATATATTATATCTTAGTAGAAAAAAAATCTCAAATTTCGTCAAAAATTAATTTGTTTAGATTGCTAAATCTTACATTGAGCCCATTTAAATCCGTGAAGAATTGATCACCGGATGCGATATCCGTATTGAAACGCATTACAAGTTCGTAATTTTGCGTTTCCGTTATGTCGACTTCATTGAGTATGTGCAATCCAAGTCCATCACTGCTAGGAGAATTGAACAATGTGCAGGTATGTCGCACGTGCGGCAATTCTATGAACACTCTCGACAAAATTGGTCCAGTTACTAAATGAACGATCGTCCTGCTATCCACAAACACTGGATCTGGTTCCGGTTTGTCGGGCAGGAATAAATAAGCACCACTTTTGTCTTTGCCAGAGCCTCTAGTACCGTATTTTACAAAATCTAAATGCACAGGAAACGTGACGTTGCCGACTCGAAGAGCTTTTAACAGACCAGACTTTCCGAAAGAGGCGGACAATTCTGATCGTTGAGTAATCGAGAATTCTTGCATATGCGGTAAAATCGTCAAATGACCGAAACCAGGCACTGATGGAAGATTAATGTCAGTATTAAAGATGGTGACATTAGCCGGATACACTCCTCTGTATAAAAAAAAATAACAGATATATTAAATCTTTAATATACGCATTATTTTATAAAGTGATCCAAAAGAGAAAGAAAAGCATACCAAAAAAAAAGTTAATAACTGAATAATGATCTGCACTATTGTTGTAAACATTTTTTTGAATCACTTTTTATATATAAACATTTTTATCGCATTTACTTCGTGTACGATGCTTTGTGTAGTGCATGAACTATGTATGTAGTGATACCAAATCCTGGTACAGTAACTAAAAAAGATAGCTCGTATCTAGCCGCAGACAATGCAGCCGAACCAATCCAAACGGGAGATACTTGACACTTGACAATTTGACCTCTTCGATCTGTAACTCTGACAAATGGTGTTGAGACAATCAAAGTTTGCACTCTTGTTCTCTGCCTTGGAAGAGAATTGTACAGGATAATCTTCCTCGAAGGATTATCGTCACCAAGATTAAGGACATGCTTCTCACCAGCACTTGTGTGATGCGACCTTTAAAAGATAATTATACATTATATCTTTTACCACATATATGAAATATTATCATTTACGAAATATTCTCATACCTAGTTTCGTCTAATGAGAAGTATACAGCTTCCACATCTATGGACGATACTTGTGGAGTTTTCAATAAATGTGCTATAGATTGTTGAAGTACATGAGCCGAATTATTCAATGCCATTATCATCTTTTGGGCATAATCTATTACAACATTGTCTCTGGCAGTTCCGGTAACTCCGTCATGATGTTGAAACAGAGAGTGCCACATTCTGGCCTTGTTCAAACGAGATGCGAGACTTCCTTCTACTAGCTGATCATTACCTTTGGCCCAAGCTATAGCAGCTAATACTTCGGATCCTCTTAAAGAACCCAGTAATACACGATCTAATCGTTTGTGAAAAGGCCTACACATACATAAGTTAAGATTATAATAGATTAATTTAAACTACTTACCATCATCAAAAGATTTAAGAAATTAAAGATTTTTCTCTCTACCTAAAATTTAAAGAAATTTTTCTACCTAGAGGTATAGTAGCCGCTCCAATAATGATCGTCTCTGTCCGAATACGTAAAGAAATCGCCGGATAAAGTAGGAAACTCGTTTAAATTGCGTTTCTCTCTGACCGCCTCAAAATAATCGGTCAAAGTTCCAAATTGTATTTGAACATTCAAGTGTTGGTTTTCATTCATGTAATCAAAAAGTTTTTGATAATTGTCATATTGAGCTTCCCACTCGGCGAGATGTGTATATCTGAAGTCGTCACCTAAAGGTGCAAGAACCACTTGAGTTTTGAAAAGCTGCGCCTTCTTACGATACTGATCTAACAAAAGCATCGCTCTCTCTGCTATATTTGATTTAGTGATAGTTTTTGGTGGGATTTTCCATGGACAGCTAAGACCAAAATTCTGCATTCTGTAGAAATCAAATTGACAGCATATTTTCGGATCTGGTCCACATGTATGAGGAACGTCATAACTGTAAAATGGCATAACATGAGTGAACAATTCTGTGGAGCCATCGTTGTCCCATAATTGTCTCCAGCGAAATTCTAAATTTTTATCTCTGGCCAGTCTCTTTTTGACTGAGTAATGAACTCTTTGTATTAAGAGATTTTCTAAGCCTGAATTCTTTAAGAGATATGGCATAGTGGGAGAGAGACCAAAAGGATCAATAGCCCATCCCGAGTTTGGTGTATAATCTAAATTATACTTTAGCCACTGATGACCCTCAGTTAGTTGTGTGAGTTGAGCAATCCAATGTGATACAGATTCATCAGGCATTACCCATCCTCCCGATACGATTTCTAATTGTCCATCGTGTACTAAGCGACGCACTTCGTCCCTTATTACTTTAGATTGATCGTCCCACCAAAGTTTAAAAAATGATATTTCAGCCCAGATAAACTTGCGTCTTTTATCTTCACTTAGCTTAGTCACCATATTATTCAATATGCTTCTTGTTTGAAATATATAGTACTTTTCAAAAGTATTTAACCACCCAGGATCGTTATGCGAATGAGGCACAACAAACACTTTTAATTTTCTATTAGGATGCCACTGTTTTTCATCATATATAATATTCCAACCTTGCTTCCAGACTCCACCATCTGCATTATCAAACTCTAATTGCTTATACAAATCTAACATTTGTATATCAACTTCTGGAACTTTCTGAATATTAAAATTACACATGAGGCTTTTTCCCATATGTGGAACTGTAATGGAATAATTGGAATGATTAACTGTTTGTATATTTGGAATAAAATTATGTTTGATTTTTGCCGCTTGTTCTTGCAAAGCACTCATAACTTTATGATGTTTGTTAAAATCCTTTTCTAATTTTGTGAGTCTGTTTTCAAAATGGAGCCATTGATTTAAAAAAAAAAAAAAAAAAAACAAATAATTTTTACATAACTTGCAGTAAATCTGTATACAATTGATTTAATGCTAACATACTGTAGGCAGTATTTTTATAACTTACATTATTTATGGAAAGCTTAGAATCTTGCCCAGGTGGAAAGAGAGTCAAATCCATCATTAAATAGATCATCACGCAACAAGCAAGGATCAAGCCTACCCCGAGAATGGCAATGGTCCTTCTGGTTCTCATTGTCATAAATCTTTTTTCTGCATTAAATTTAACGTTTCAATTAAATGTTTGTAATTTTTTTTTGATCATAGAGCGTGAATCAATAATTTATGCTAACTATGACTGAATGTTGAAAGTAAAAATGAATTTGTATCTAATTCCTTGATATAATTCTTCTACCATTATAAAGGACTACATGTTAAAAATCAATTTTAAAACGTAAATTATCAATGAGCAGTCAATTCTATGAATTCATCGAGCTTGAGATACTAGGATTATGAATCTCATAAATCAACTTATTTTGAGTTTCAAAAATTTATTCGCTAATTTATGTGCAGTCTCTGACGATTATTATAATAGCTTTTATTTTGTAATTATGTAGATCATTTTTGATTTATTAGGAACTTGAGACACCGTTATTTTCAGCAATAATTAAGAAATGTGACACACAACTGTCAGAAACAGATGCTCACAGTTTGGATTCTGACAGCCGCTGTCAACAACAGAGACTACGTTTACACGTCACCCTTAATCGGGTTTAATAACATCCGTAGTTCTAAGGCTGGCCAATCACAGTCATTCCATTCTTCAGAGGAATAGCTGTGATTGGCCAGTTTTACAACTACGGATGTTATTAAAACCGATTAAGGGCCAATTTCACCAAGTCCGGTTAGATTAACTGACGGTTAAAATTAGCAGGGTGGCCAACAGAAAATAGAGGTGAAGGAAAACCAAGCATTCTTATCATTTCAGTTGGAACCCTGCTAATTTTAACCGTCGGTTAATCTAACCGAGCTTGGTGAAATTGGCCCTAAGGATGCCGTGTAACAGAGCTCAATGATAGCCAAATATTAGCCTCTGGAGAATCCAGGGAGATCCTGTGGATCCTAAGAATTTTTATAGGATATGTTAGAGATATTTTTCGTACGTTTCAAGGAGCAAATTCTGAAATTGAAATATAAATTAAGATTGCGTTCTGTTATTTACTGCCAATACTAAAAATCTAATACTAAAAATAGTTCACGTTCTTTAATATTTGAGGTTTTCGTG